GCGCTACCACGCCCGGCTCATTTTTGATTTATTGTAGAGATGAGGTCTCGCCAACTTGCCTGGGCGGTCATTTTTTTATTTGTTGTCGTGATAAGGTCTCCAAGTTGCCCTGGCTGGGCTGGCCGGGCCGGCCAGGCTGGTCTCAAACAAGCTCAGGCAATCCTCTTGCCTTGGCCTCCCAAAGAGCTGGGATTATAGGCATGAGCCACCGTGCCTGGCTTATTTCAGTTTTTTCTAATCAAGGAACCAGTCAAGGCTCATGAATTTGCATTTGGTTGCTGTGTCTGTGTAGTGTTCGTTTATAACAATTTTTTTTTTTTTTTCCAGAAAGTCCTGGTCAGTTCTCATGTAGAATGCCCCAGCTTCTTGATTAGTCTCATAGTTGCCTCATATTTAAACACTTTTGTAACTTGACAGAAATATTGTAAATATATATATATATGTATATATATATATATATATGTCAATAAAATACTTTTGTTAGGGATATATGTAGGTGGTGTCAGAGGGTCTAAGTCGGCAGTCAGGAATATGCGTGGGCGGTGTGGGATTTGCGTGGGTGGGGCCAAGGATTTGTGTTGACAGGTCAGGGTATTACATGGGGTTGGGGCAGTCTGCATAGGTGGGTCTCTTGTTAAGTAACAAGAGGCAGCTCCTGCCAGAGGCAGATCATGCTGGTTGTCCCAGTATTGATGACACAGATCTGAGCCACTGGGCGACCGAGACGGTGGCCTCACAGCTGGAGTGTCTTCTGTTTTGTCATTGACATGTCTTTGCGGGCTGCAGGATGCCGATGCACCCGGTCCAGGCGCAGGCCTCGTTCCCAAAGACCCCAGCACCAGCAGCGCCGCAGGAGGAGCTCCCGCCTCACAAGCCCCCGACCCTTCCTCTGGATCAGGTTGGAAGCGCTCGAAGTGCAAGCTTTTCCCTTACCCTTGGGCAACGGGATGCAAGCACATGATCTCATCGCTGTGCTGAGAGGTGTTCCCGAGCTGCCTCGACAGAGATCAAGGGCACAGGCCTCGACCTAGCCTCCCTCAGGTCTCTCCTTTCTTTATGTGGGCCGGGCTCGGTGGCTCAGCCTGTAATCCCAGCACTTTGGGAGGCCGAGGTGAGTGGATTGCCCGAGCCTATGGGTTCGAGACCCACCCGGGCAACTTGGCCAAACCTCATCTCTACAACAAATCATAAAAATTAGCCGGGCGTGGTAGTGCGCACCTGTAGTTCCAGCTACTTGGAAGGCTGAGGCGGAAGGATCGCCGGAGCCCAGCAGGTCGAGACTGCTGTTTTGGGGAGCACTGCTGAGTCCAGGGCAGCCACGACCCCTTGCCTGTCTTCTCCTTCCTACCTGCCTCATTTTGGGGGGACAAGGCAGGCGGGTTTTCGAACGGTAACAGCTGCCATTGAGTCCTGCTGCTTTGCCAGGCGCTATGCCAAGCGCCTCTGTGTGCGGTGTCTCATTCCGTCCTCTCCTCAACTCCCAGAAAGCAGGTAGAGAGCAGATCTTGTCATCCGCTGCATCGGGATCACTTTCTAGCGTGCAGGAAGTCTCTCTGCTGTCAGGCCATGGGTCGGAGGTCTGAATCAGGAAGTCCAGGCATCAGAGCCTGCCCTCTCTGGACGTGGACTGTGGGCTGAGGGAACTAAAATCAAGCCGTTTTCCCAGATGGAGAAGAGCGTGTGCCGTCCTTTGGCTGGCTTACTTTTTTTTTTTAAACACAATTTTCGCCAGGCATGATGGTTCCCACCTGTAATCTCAGCACTTTGAGATTGAGCCCAGCCTGGGCAACATAGCAAGACTTCGTATTTACAAAAATATTTTAAAATTATCCGCATGTGGTGGCACATGCCTGTCGTCCCAGCTAGGCAGGAGGCTGAGACGGGAGGATCGCCTGAGCCCAGAAGGTCAAGGCTCTAGTGAGCCATGTTCTTGCCACTGGACTCCATCCTAGGCGACACAGTGAGATCCCACTGAAAATAGAAAAGAGCACAGTCTTAAGTTTGGTTTCAAATGTCTGTCTCCTGTTTGTTTCTCTCAGAGCTAGTCCGAGGAGGAAATGGAAAGCCGTGCATGAAGCCTGGAACGTGGAGAACTGGGGGTGTGGACCTCGCCCGGCTCCATTCCCGTCCGCCTCCCCGTCCCTCCGCAGTGAATCCCACAGCCCCGGAAGCACGCTCCTCAGCTGACCGGCCCGCAGCCTTCGGGGGCCCTGGGCCGGGGGTCCTGGCACAGCTGAACCCGACGGTCAAGAACGCCCGCGCTGCGGCGGCTGAGGACTTGTCCAGAGCCTGAGACTCTGCAGGGAATTCACGTTAAACTCGGGGGAGGGGGTGGGCTTAGGAATGGAGTGGTGCTTTTAAACTTTGACAAGCAGCTAAACTCAGGTATATTTGGGGGGAAGGGACTACTCGTAGTATTAATGTTTTTGGAGCTGGGTCCAGTTTACAGAATTTTCATGTTGCCTTTTAAAGTAATTTTTGTTGGTGGTGAATGTACTGTACATAACGTGGGAAGGGTGGGTGGGGGTGTGGAGGAAGTAGGGGTCCTCACTGGTGGGCACGCGGCACTGGAGTGATCTTTACCTGTTTACAATCATGTCACACCGGACACTTGTGGGGGCTGGAGAAGAGGGTGGGAAAGGCTTGGCCTTGGGGAATGTCGCTACCTGTGTTTCCTTGGTGGCCGGCCAGGCTTCTGTCGCGAAAGGCCTTCCTTCCGGTCACCCTACGGGAGAAGGGTGAGCCCTGCCCCCTCCCGATTTGTGTCTCAGTTGGAGGCAGAGTGCTGTCTCGTGGCCTGCCGGAAGCGTCAACCAGGAAGACAGGCTGCCCTCTCTCTCTGGCGACCCAGACCCTGGGTCGGAGGCCCTGGTGTTCTTTCCGGATCTTGCCCCCAGCCCTGCCAGATAGTTGGACACCACGGTCAGGAATTGGGGTCACTAGAGTGCTTCACGTATTAGACGAGAAAATGAATCGTCCTCCTCACGGACCCCTCGGGCTGTGATCTGGAGGGCCTCACGCAAAGCTCTTTGGCATGAATCACATTTTGTGGAAGTGACTACTCAGGTTTGTATATGTTAGTACCAATAAAGAAATTGCACAGGTTTGAGTAGGAGAAATGTATTCTATAGATTTCCAGTTTGGATTTAGGACTATTTCAGTATCTAGAGTTTTTATTCATTTTAAGTGAATCATAGGTCAGTCAAGGTGATTGAAAATAGCTACCAGGAGCGAATTCTTGGGGATTCTTTGTTGTATCTGTGATTGGAAACCATTTCACAGTATTAACAGTACTTTATTCCAGTTGTAGAATTGAATGACACTGGAGTCTCCCTGCTTAGCATTCTGTATTTGGTTTTAGCTGAGATGTCACCAAAGTTAGGACTTTTGAGTAACCCACCAAGAAAAAGCAAAACTAAGGACAAGGCCCTGAAACAACAGGTCTTTGTCAAGAATAGCATATTTTTCCGTGTGCTTTGAGGGGAGTAGAAAGGTCACTCCAGACGGTAACTCTGCCCAGGTTTCGTGTCAATTCCACTGTGGGAGGAGCCAGTCTCATCTCCCCCTCCAATCCCGGCATCCGTCATGAAACGTGGCACTGTCGGCATTTACAGCTGGCTCAACATACGCTGTCGGTGGGGACCTTGGAAGCGTTGGCGTGAAGAGAGAGGGCGTCCAAGACGCTCGGTCCGGTGTGATGGAAATTCACGCCGGCAAGCGAGCGTGCCTCAGCCTGGCGGGGTGCTTGGGTTCAGGCAGGGCCGAAAAGCCGGTGGGAACACCGGTGCCTCTGAGCTATAATGCACGAAGATACAGATTTTGCCCGGCCCGAGGCACTCATCGTAAGTGTGCTCTGTTTGCCAGCGGACTGAGTTTCAGGCCTGTGATCTCATTGGCCCCTAATGGTTACGAAACCTGTCACCGGCGTCATCTGGCTTGAAGGAGTGAAAGGTCAGGTCTTGGGCTGCCCTCGATCTCCCGTCCGCTGATACCGTCGAGGCGTTGCTCCTGCAGCTTCTGTGTTCGTGCAGGGGCAGGGAGGAGGGAAAATCACGCTTTGGGGCTGCTTCGACGGGGTCTGGGTCCAGCGTATCTGGCCGCTGACAGGCTCCCTCTTCCTGTGAATGCTGGTTTGAATCTGCGGCCCCTCCCTACCTAGCAGTAGGGTGGCATAGGGCCTCTTCCCATGGTGCTGAACTGTGGGGCTGCTTTGTCCTGAGTGGGCCTAGGTAGCAGCGGCCCGTGACCCGCAGTAGTGGGACTGGTGTCCCACGTCCGTCTGCTTCGTGGTCCTTGAGCAGCCGTGTGTCTGCTGCTCACCCCGCCCCCCCCAGCATCCCCCCTCGCCTGCTGCTGGAGCGATGCTGTGAAACGTCCAGGAAAAAAACAATAAATTCCTTCATCCTTCATCTCCCTTCCTGGCTTTAGACAAAGGAGAAACTGTTAAGGAAAGAGCAACAGGAGATGAGCTACTGTATTAAATCGTGTTGTTTGTGCAACGCCAGAACTGTTGCGCATGACAGGTCGCAGCGCTTTTTGCCCGTCCTGAGCTGTTTACTGGTCTTTGAAGTACAAATCTGCTGGGGAGGGTGGGATCGTGGGATCCACGCGCCCCCAAACAGGATCGCCTCACCTTTTCCTCCCTCCACCCCTGCATTTCTCTTTCCAAGTGTCTTAAGCAGGTACAAATGCATTCGCCGGCTTCTCCATCAGGGAAATGGTGGTTGTGTGCCGTGTTCTGACGAGGTCGTGTGTAAGAGTGTCCTGAGAAGGTCTGCTCTCAGGCTGGAAGCACATCTCACCCTGTGAGTCACTGTCACGGGGTCAGTGTGCCAGCTCTCAGTCTCCAGGAGTGCAGCGCCGAGACTGTGGGTCATCGGAAATGCTGTCACCCCTCTGATTTCCCACTGGTGGCGAACCTTTCTGGGAGTTGTTGATAAGCTAGAAACCGTTTCCCCAAGGCCCCAAAGAAATAAAAGATCCAGAAAGAAGAGTAGAGTTTTTTGGAAGTATTCTGGGCTTTTTGGGGGCTTTCTTTTTCCTCAGAGTCGATCCACATATAACTGCCTCTTTTTTTTCATACCTCTTTTTTTTTTGAGTGGAGTCTCACTCTGTCACCCCGACTGGAGTGCAGTGGCCGCTCCCGGCCACCGCAGCCTCGACCTGCTGGGCTCCGGCGATCCATGCGCCTCAGCCTTCCAAGTAGCTGGAACTACAGGCACGCGCTACCACACCCGGCTAATTTTTTGAATTATTGTAGAGATGAGGTCTCGCCAAGTTGCCCAGGTGGGTCTTGAACCTGTGGGCTCAGGCAATCCACTCACCTCAGCCTCCCGATACGCGGGATTACAGGCTGAGCCTCCAAGCCTAGCTCACACCTCTTAAGATACAGTAAAAGCCACTTGTCTTCCCGTGATCGGGTTTGCTTGGCTCTGCTGGGGTGCTCGTGACCTTGGCGTCAGCAGGCCCTTGTCACTGAGCCCCTGCAGACTGTCCTCAGGACACGTGCTTTCTCAAGCTCATCTGTATTGTGTTTATTGAAAACCTTAGGCTCAGTGCCCCCCGGTTCAGTCAACCCTCAGCTTCACGCAGTGGACTCTAGCCTAGCCCCGAAAGGGCTTCTCGTGACTAGCCATCTGGTGTCTTTGTCTCATGGCATTTATTTTTTATTGTTCTTGCTATGATTTTTGCTAACTCCTTCTGTCTGCAAATATTTAGGGTGTCCTAAATGCCACCCCAGACCCACAAAGTACTAGCATTGCCCTCAACCACAGTGGGTAGAAACAAACTTGCAGTCCTACCACTTGACTGAATTTTTTTTTTTTTTTTTTTTTTTCGAGTCGGGGTCTTCCTTTGTCTTCCCAGGCTGGAGTGCAGTGGCAGGATCACAGCCTACTGAAGCCTCCTGGCTCAGGCGATCCTTTCACCTCAGCCTCCTGAGTAGCTGAAACTACAGATATGCTCTACCACGCCCCACTAATTTTTTTATTTTGTTTTATTTTAGAGACGAGGTCTCGCTGGGTTGTCCAGGCTGGTCTCAAACTCCTGGGCTCAGTCAGGCCTTCTGCCTCAGCGTCCCAAAGTGCTGGGATTACAGGCATGAGCCACCCACACCCAGCCTGAATTTTTTTTTTTTTTTTAATGGAAGTTCAGATCTGTAAATAATATACTACTATTAAGATCTAATTTGAAATTGCACAGGAAGGCTTGAAGTCCCAAGGCGAGGACAGGTTCATAATGTCAAAACTCTCACAAGGCTTCCAGAGAACCTGTTTTCTAAGAAACGAAAAGGCTTAGGGTTTTCCCGTATCATTGCCCCTTTTGTGTGTGTCAGTAGATTCACCCCCTGCAGGTTCTTTATACACCTCCATTGCAGAAATCGGTTCCTTTTTCTTTTTTTTTTTTTGAGTTGGAATCTCACTCTGTCGCCCAGACTGGAGTGCAGTGGCCCCTCCTGGCCACCGCAGCCTCGGCCCACTGGGCTCCAGCGATCCTTCGACCTCAGCCTTCCGAGTAGCTGGAACTCCAGGTGCACGCTATCACGCCCGGCTCATTTTGATTTTATTGTAGAGATGAGGTCTTGCCAAGTTGCCCAGGCGGGTCTCGAACCCACGGGCTCAGGCAATTCACTCACCTCAGCCTCCCAAAGCGCGAGATTTCAGGCTGAGCCACCGAGCCTGGCCCTTTTTTTATTCTTTCAGAGACGAGGTCTTGCCATGTTGCCAAGGCCGGTCTCCCGATAGACTCAGGCAGTCCTCTTGCCTCCGCCTCCCAAAGTGCTGGGATTACAGGCTGTGAGCTCCCACCCCCAGCCGGTTCCGTCTACTAGCGAGTCTCACATTGCTCAATCCGGGGGGTCTCTAGGAGGCGGCACCTCTGGACAGCAGCTTCAGTGAGGACACTTGGGGTTTTGCTTGGGCACACCGAGGCTTGTCTCCTGGGCTCCCACCATCGCATAGGAACTGAGCGTGCCAGTGCCCTGGTTGCACGAGGGCTCCTTTCTTCACTGGTGGTTTGGATTCTGCTGGGCCACACAGCCTCGGGGTGCTGGGCCTTGCTTGCCTCCCCTGTGGGACAGCAGAGTTTGAGTGAACATTGCTGCACCCCGTGTCTCAAGTTTCTCTAGCTGTGACACCAGCTTCGTCGCCAGGAGGGGTGTCAATCCTTCCCTGCGTGAGACTGATGGGTAGAGGGAGACGACTGTCTTCCTGCCTGGGTGGACTTTCTCCCTACTCTTTCCCCTCATTCTGCAGGAGAGGACTGACTTAGCTAACTGCCTGCCAACCGGCTGTG